TGTACCTTTGTGCACACATTTTGTTCTAAGAATGTGCATATACCTATAATAACAGTTGATGTTCTTTTATCTTTTAATTACCATCAAGTCAGAACCAGCTTATAGCTGACTCTCATGGGGTTTCGGAGGCTCTAAATCTCATGGGAAGAAATTGCCAGTTGTTTCATGAGGAGCCTCAGAGGAATTTGAAGCTCCAGAGAGGTTATAGTCTTTGGGTTAGAAACACAGTTCTCTGTGGACTACATTTTTGGAACAGCTTTCCTATTCTGTTAGTTAATGCAAAGGGTTGATTTGGGTAGTCACTGCCCTTAGGGTTCTTGAATGGCTTGTTTCAGATGGACCATAACCTGAAAGTTTGCTGTGATGAAAGACTGTATCATGTCAATTGGAAATCTTTGAATGATCTGTTACAGTATTGTGGCATTTTTGTTGCCCTTGATGTCACGTCTTTTCTAACTGTAAACATTTGTTAGCATAGCCCATAGGGAGCTGCACTCGCCCTGGTGGTTTGAATTTATTGTGTTACTGGGCAGTTTCCTCCTGTGATTTATAGCCTCTGAAACTCAGTTGGAGAGTCAGCTGTGAGTCCATTTCAACTTCAGTGAGTTGTTTTTTTTAAAAAAACATTTCCCTATTTATTTTACATACAGACTGGCCTTCATCTTTTTTGAGTCCTTCATCTTTTTTGAGTAAATCTCTGCTTCTAGTGATCGTTGGCAGTTGCTAAAAAATGTTGATAATAAGTAAGACCGTTTATGTCCATCCCATTTGGCTGGCATGACAGCCAGCGTCTGCTTGTATTTAGAATGATTGACCTTCCCACTCTAAAAACATCTCCCTTCGCAGTTACCATCCTGAATGGCTCCAGGGTTTTACCAAGCAACTGGAACTCTTCTGCCTTCCTTCTGCCTCAGGCGCAGTTTGCTGCTATGCAGGGAGAGTAAACTTGATCAAGACAAATTATGCAAATCATCCTGGTCTCTAATTAAAAGACTAAACTCATTAATTTACATTAAATTATATAAGCTTCAAATTAAAGGTTGCAGGACAAAGTTACTATCAAATAGAAATACTATAGCTTAACAAAATTATGGCTAAAATATCATCAGAGAAGTTGTGTGTGTGTGCGTGCGCGCGCGCGTGCATGCATGCATGTGTGTGCACACGCGGGTGTTTGCCTAGGCCTGGGTTCTACATAGCTTTAAAATGATGGAAACCTTTAAATGGAAGGTAACCTAATATTATAGATGTATTGATTTGGACACACGGTGACCTGTGTGTGCAGAAACATACTGTGGGTTTCAAGGCTGTGACCTCTCAGAAAAAGATCCTCATGCCAGACATCTAAGGTGCCTCTTGATGGGTTAAAATTGGCAGCTGTTCAGGTAGCCATGCCTCAGATGGCAGCTCTTAGCCATGGAGTTGATTCTGGCTCATAGCCAACCTTCCAGAGGGTTTCTGAGGTTGTCCATCTTAACAAGAGGCCCATCTTTGTTCCTCTGAGCATCAGATAGCAAGGCCAGACACACGTGACCTTTTGCTATGGCTACAGACTATGCCACCTACTCTAGTTGTTAGCCACTGAAACCATTCAGCATTCATAAATATAAGAAAGTTAGATATTAATTGTCTGGAGAGGGGAGGAGATGTTGTTCCTGTTTATAAAATGACATTAAACCTACCCCATGTATCCTATTAATAATACAATATAACCAGTGTTAGAGAATAGTCTGAAGAAGATACAAAGAAATAACAAGTGTTATATCCCAGAGGACTTAGTGAAATTTTTCTTTGCTTAACTTAAGTTTATTATCTTTGTATCTAATTTTGCTTATTAGATTGATTTGGAATTACTTTTTATTATTAGACTAATCAGAAATTGTCTTTTTGTTAAAGTTTCCTGTTTGAATGATTAGATTTCTATATCCATAGATGCTGTTAGTGCTATTAGAAAGGAGTTAGAAATAACGATCTTAAGCAAGGGGGGAGATCTCAAAGGAAGCTCTGATGGCTTAGTGGTAAGAAACTGTGCGGCAATTATTCGGAAGGAACACAGTTTGAATCCATCAGCCGCTCTGTGGGGGAAAGACAGGAAGTCTCCTCCTGTGCAGTTAATTACCTCTGAAAACCAGCTGTAGGGTCAGCCAGCTATGGATTGGTTTCAACTCAAAGGCACACAACAACAACAACAACAATAAAGGAAAATAAGGATTTTTGAAGATTTGTTTGGTAACATTGTCCATGAGACAGAGGAGGGAAAATCCACTTTAACTCAAAAACTCACTTCTGTATAATTAGAACTGACTCATAGCCATAGCGGACCTTCCCCAGTGGATGTGTGGAGGCTGGAAGTTGCATGGGAGTATATTGTCTGTCTGTCTCCCATGGAGCTGCTGGTGGATTTGAACCACCCGGAAGTAGCTACCTTTAGGCTAGCAATGCAACTACCTATGAATTCCACCACCAGAGCTCTCTGACAAAGCATAACTTGCTCACAGGGACAGAAGGGGTAGGGAAAATGATGTTAATGCTGCTGAATGGAGGCTGAAGCTGCCTTTGCTCTGCTTGAGTGTCAGCAGACAAGGCCTGTGTCACTGTGGAAGGTGAGGACAAAAAGGAGGAACGTGTAGGGAGATATTGCAAAGGAAACACATTTAAGACTGAATAAATAGCTGGATAAGGATGATGAAGAAATTAAATAACTAAAAAGGAGCAAAATGAGCCTAGCAAACACTAAGAATTTGGGCAGGAACCTTAATTGTAGGGCAAGTAAGTTTAGTTTAATTTGCTTTCATTTGGAATAACCTTTTTTTGTGTGGTTTCTTTACAAATACTCTTTAAACTCTTAATAGAGGTCATTAGAAGTTCAATTCCTGGTAAATGCACCTTATGGGAGATGAGTGGAGGCTCGTGTTTTACTGTGATGTGGAACAATTTTCAGCAAAGCTTCCAGACTTGGAGAAACTAGCAAGAAAGAGCTGGTGATCAAAATTTGGAAGACACATTGAAGCCCTTTGGCTTGCAGAGACTCGGGGTCACTGCGAGGCACGGCTGACTTGGCAGCAGCTCCCCGAAACCACAGAGGCTAGCAGGCTCCTGCTCAATAACTGCTTCCTTTCAGTTCTTCACGTCCCTACATCTTCTGCTCAGTCCTTAAAATATTCAGCTGGGTAGGCAGAAAAGGACTGCACTGTTCTCCTTCCTTTTGCTCCTCAAACAACAAAATACTGGGCTATTTACAAGACTCCCCAGAAATGTATAAATTGAGTCCCACAGGCATGGTATGTGTGCTCGCCTACAGGGCAGGAAGAGGAAGACTGAGAACTTTTCTTGACCTCTTGAACTGAGTGAATCTCAAGAAAGTGATTTTGTTATTTTGAAGGTTTGTTGTTTGTTTTTTTTTTTTAATATCCCAGAACACTGACAAACATGCACTTTATGTGCCATCAAGTTTGAACCGAGTCATAGCTGACCGACCCTTCAGAAGGTTTTCAGAGGCTATTACTGTTATAGGAGGAGATTGCACATCTTTTCTTCTGTGGAGCTGCTGGTGGATTTGAACTAGCTGCCTTTGGGTTGGAATGAAATGCCTTACCACTAAGTCACCAGAGCTCAGTGTGTAAGAAGTAGTGGTGCTCAAATATGTATTTGGGTAGACACTTTATTTTTTTGCGTTGCTTTAAAAATGTTCACCCTCCCCATCACTAGATGAATGGATCGGCACAATATATATGTACACACAATAATATGTTATTCAACCATAAGGAGAAATAGGCTTTTATACATGCAACAGCATAGATGAAATGTGAAAACATTATACTGACTGAAATGAGTAAGACCCCAAAAGACAAATGCTATATGATAATGCTTCTATGAAATATCTAAACTTAGGAATGTAGGAGAAAACTGGGGGGGGGGGGGAAGAAGATATTTTACTGTAGATTAAGGATGGGTGGCCCATTCAGTAGCCTGGTGGCAAGAAGCTGTGCTGCAATCCTAAAGGCACGTAGTTAAAATCCACCAGTTCCTCTAGGGGAGAAGGATGGGGGCAGTCTCCTTCTGTGCAGTTGACTGTCTCTGAAAACCCGCTAGAGGGTCAGCTGTGGGTCACGTCTGCTTCTGCTGCACTCACAACAGCAAGGGTGAGTGGGGAGAAAAATGGGAACTTGATGCCTGTGGTTACTCAGTCTCGACGAATTATTAGATTTCTGTGTCACTGGGTGTTATTAGTGCTCTTAGGAATAAAAATTGGTTGCCATCAAGTTAGCTCTCATTCAAGGGAACCCTTGTGTGCTGGAGTAGAATTGCACCCCATCAGGTTTTCAGTGGCTCACCAGGCCTTTATCTGAGGGATTCTGGGTGGGCTAGAACCTCTAATCTTTCATTTGGCAGCTGGGCACACCACTGTTTGTACCACGCAGGGACTCTTAGGAAAATGGGTGGTAGCAGCTGTGGAAACACACACAGTTCAGATGGTTGCACAACACTGTAATTCACTCACTCATTGCTGTCAAGTTGGAACCAACCCTTAGTGGACCCTTAGCAGGTGTTCAGAAACTGTAAATCACACAGGATGGCTTGTCCATCTCTTTCCCAAGGATCTGCTCAGGGACTTTTTAAGTTAACAGCACAACTCCTTATGGACTACCCCACTAGAGTTCAGTGGCTATAATTAATGCCACTGAAATGCATGCTTTAAAAATGGTCAGATTGGAAATTTTTGTATTTATATCATATTTGTCAGTGTTTTGTTGTGGTTTTTTGTTTGTTTGTTTGCTTGTTTTTAAAGTTTGCCCTTGAGATGTTTTTCTGACAGCTTGTGTCCTATCTGAATAGAAATCATCTGGTGGGCCCTGTCAGCCTGGGCTCCTCCTGTCTCCCACACACTGTGCTGATCCAGGCAGGAGTTGTAACCCTCACCGAACGATAGACTAAGGCACAGGTTTTGCTGGGGTCATGCCTCCTGATCTGGCTTTCTCTTCTTGCAGGTGCACACATCCTGACCAACTCAGCAGGAAAGTGGATTTTTGGGTTTAAAGACAAGACAATGTCCCCGTGCCTGTAGAGATGATTTGCAGTTCAGCCCGGCTGAAGCTGACCGAATGAGACTATGGGCTGTGCCTCCGCCAAGCATGTTGCCACTGTTCAAAATGAAGAGGAAGCCCAGAAAGGGAAAAACTACCAGAATGGAGATGTGTTTGGCGGTAAGTTGTTTGGAATTGTGCTCTTCACCTGTTGATTCTGGACCTTTCTATCTCCCGGGAGTAAAGAGTTGTAGTGCTCCAAATACGTATGGTGCTGTTGTGGAGTGAACAGGAAAGGAGAGCTAAGAGCAACGAGGCAGATTGCTGCCACTGGATGATAGAACCATCATTTTTGGTTAGGAGGCTTTGGCAAGGTTCAGAGCAGTTTTCGTGAAAGAGTTACCCTTTAAATGGACCTGGAACAATAGGATTGAAATAGGTTTATGGAACAGCAGCCAGGGGTAGGGAAATATCTACCATGGGAGAGTTCTCTTGCTGACAGCGTAGGGATTTCTAAGTGTAGTGTCTGAGGAATTAAAAGTGAGAGAATGGGCTATTTTCAAGTTCACAGAGGGTTGCAAATGCTGCCACAGTGATCTTTAGAGGCAAAGAGGGTCAATGTTTGTCTCACATACTTTGGGCATGTTGTTAGGAAGTCCTTGGAAAGAGAAAGACAGGAAGATGCGCTCAACAAGATTGATTGGCAGACACCAGTGACTGCAGCCTGTCAGAAATGATAAGGATGGCGTGGGATAGGACGAGGTTCAGATCTGTGGTTCAGAGGGTCGTAGTTGTCTCGATGGCAGCCAACAACAACAACCGCACTCTTTATCGCAATTACAAATTTCTATTTGTAAAATCATCAGTATGATGAATATAATAATCAGACCTTCCAAGAGATGTCAAAGTGGCTTTAAAATCTCTAGTGCGGAGGCCACAAATAGCCAACCTGTGGCCACATGTGGCCTTCAGAGCCATTTCTTTACACCCCTCCAAGAATTTTTAGATAAAAAGAAAGGCTGCCTTCAAAATTCAGAGTGTTTTCATAAACTCCTAAATTTCTAGCATCTCTTGAAAAGCCAGAAGATCTGGCAGTGCTGACTCTTTACTGGGGCTTCATTCAGGGAAGTGAAGTTGCCCTGTTTGTCAGGCGGTAAACGCCAGTGGACCCTCTACTGTTCTCCATTAAGCCCTGTTCAGTCATTTCTGTTATTGGCCTGGCCATGTGAAATGGCCTTATATTGAGTTTGTTCTTTGGAGGACTAATTACTGCTCTGATGAAACATGGCCGTGAGTCCAAAATTCCAGTCAGAACTAGTCAGATAATGCCATTTCCCCTGTATTACTTCTGCAATAAAACTTCTTTGTCATTTGCATGGCAGTGTTATTCATGAAAGCACCTTTTTATCTCTTACTTGATAAGGAATGTCTCTGATGCAGTGTTTACATTGCAAGACTGGAGTTACATCATCAGTCACCATAAAACAGTTTGACTGAGTTTTTCATTCCTGCTGTGGAATGCAGTAGATTGGTTGTTTCTGTTCACTGGAGAAGAATAGAGAATGCTGTGGTGAGGGTGCTGTAAAAGGAAAAGGCAGCATGCAATGATTTTTATTAGACTAATAAATTCATTACTTTAATCAATTTTAATTAAAGTTATGAAACAAATATCTATAAGTGATTGAGTGGAAATGTAATATGATTTGTAAACTTGTACTCAAACAAACAGAAATTATTGAAAGACGACAGTGAATGACCATACCTAGGGAGGAGGTTTGGGTTATTTTGTTCTATTTTAAGAAAATGCATTTGTTGCCTGGAACAAATTTGTTTCTTGGGGTGATTACCTGTGGAGTTTTATGAGGCAGTCGCACGAGGAAGAACATCAGAGAATCCAGATCTTTGAAACCACAGTTTCTGGAATGAGAGTGAATTAGAATTTCTGGTTTGAGTCATTGCAGTCAAGCTTGTAAGAGGAAGCAATGTCACATCAGGGATTCTATAAACTAACTTCAGGTGATTTCGGTGTCATTTTCAATCAGAAGTGACTCATAGCTGACCCTCCTATGAGGTTTCAGAGGCTGTAAATCACTGGGGAAGAGATTGCACATCTTTCTCCTGTGAAGCAGCTGGTGAATTTGAACCAGTTATCTTTGAGTTGGCAGCACACCTCCTTTCTATGGAGCCACCAAAACTTTTTGTTATAGGAGCTGCCATTTATGTAGCCTCCATTCTTGGTCAAGGATCCCTGGTGGCACACTTGTCAAAGCATTTGGCTGCTCATCTAAAGACAGGTGTTTGAATCTGTTGGCTGTTCCATAGGAAAAAAGATGAAGCAATCTTTAGTCTTCTTTCATAATGATTTACAGCCTTGGGAACCCAGTGGGGCAGTTCTCTATCCTGCTGGGTCATTTGATGGCAGGGAATTTGTTGGATTATTCTGTGCCAAATTCTGTGAGCTGTTAACATTCATTTTCTTTACATCTCACGTTCTTCTGATGAATTAAGTGCCATTACCCCAGGTTCAGATCTGTTCATAAGGTCACTGTGAGTTGTACTTGAATCCACTGCACCTAACAACAACGATAACCCCAGGTTTAGATGTTAAGAAGTTGAAGCACAGAGAGGATGGTTTAATGTTGCTCAGCAGTGCAAGCTAGAGAATCCAGATCACTTAGCCTCCAAAGTCCACAGCACTTTCTTCGTGTGGTTTCTGGATGCCTTGCTGTCTCCCATTGGACACTCATTCTTAGAAGGTCTGTAAGGTGTCTAAGGTCTTGTGATAAATACTGTGGAAGTATTTATGCAGAGGTAAATAATGCATAAACCTTTCCCTGTAGGACCTTGTAAGAGGATGAGAAGGTGTTATGAAGCAGAATAAACCAAATTTCAAAAGGACAGCCCTACACCATGACAGAAGCCAGGGATGGAGAGACAGCCTACTGAGGCAAAAGCAGAACCCATTTAGGAAGGTGACATCTGAGCATCACCTTAAGGACTGGGAGAATCTACACCCGCTAGGAAAAGCAGGTGAAGGTTAGATGAGGAAAATCTAAAGTAATGTGAGACGTATTCAAGAAATTAGAAATGAAATGAACTAAATGGAATATGAAATACAAGAGGGAAGGAATTGGCCAAAAAAGGAATTTAGAGTCAAATTATGGAGAACTCATGAATACCAAATTACAGTCTTTTGAGAGATCATCTTGGGCTGGAAGAACAAGATTTTATAATACTCAATATACTATACTAACACAATCAACTCTCTTGGCACTAGCAGTCAGGAAATCAAATGATGAATTGTATTGGGGAAGTCAGCTGTCTTTCCCAGACCTCTCTAGAGTACTGAAGAACAGTGATGTCAGTCTGGAGTCTGAGGTGCTCCTGATCCAGGCTATGGTCTTTGCAATTACTTGCTATGCATCAGAAAGCCAGACAACCACTAGAGATGATAGAAGAATTGATGCCTTTGAGTTGTGGTGCTGGAAGAGAGTGTTGAACATAATGTGGACTGCCAGGAGAATCAACAGGTTAGTCCTGGAGAGGGTGAAACCAGGCTGCTCCCTGGAGGCAAGGATTTTGAAGCTCTGTCTTTTATACTTTGGGAATGTGGCCAGGGAATACTAGGCCTTGGAAAAGGACATCATGCTTGGAAGGGTGGAAGGACAATGCAGAAGAGGAAGACCCCAGATGAGATGGATGGACATAGTCACTGAAGAAATGGGATTCGGTCTGTCGGAGATGATGAGATTGGTTCAGGATAGGGCAGAGTTCAGAGCTATTGTACATATAGGGTCATTATCAGTCACAGACGACATGATGGCACATACAAACAACAACAGCAGTATACTTTGTTTGGCAGTGAAACTACCTAAGCATCTCTTTCTAAAGTTAGTCACAATTTGAACAGCCAAAAAGAGTCTTCTGTGGCCTAATATGCCATATGTACTTTGTAAATGATGGCAAATGAGAACCAAATATCAAACCCAATGCTGTTGACTTGATTCTAACTTATTTTTGAGGCTGTAAGTATATGATGTTTCTTCTACTGGGGCAGCTGGTGGACTTGAACTGCCAACCTTTTGATTAGGACCCCAACATATAACACATCATGCCATCAGTACTTTTCACCAATTCGTAGAGGAACCTTGAATTTTAGTTAACTATTACTGTGTGCTTAACAACCTCACTATCTCAGTGACTTCTAATATTGTGATCCTAGGTTGTGTCTCTTCTAGTCCTTCTGGGACCAGTGAACTAATGGGGTGTGTTTTTCTTTTCCTGGAGGGCAAGAGTGCTTGTAGATATATAGGATGCTTCTTCAGCTTGAGCGTGGAGCTAATCCATGGCCCCTTGTACCTCCTTTTATTGACCAAAGTGAGTTGTCTGAACAAGCCCAACCTCAGGAGGCTGAGAAGTGTATCTAGTACTCATGGGTGTACCACAGTCCATCAGTTGAAAGTATAGGTGAAGGAAAGGTTTAACAACTAACTGTGTCTACTACAAACCAGCCCAGCCCTTGCTGTCTCAGTGACTCCATATATTCTGTGCTATTAAAGTACAGTTAGCCTCTGCCAGTGTCTTCTTGGAGCCCTGGATGGTTAAAGAGCAGAATGATAACCAAACAATTGGAGGTTCAAGCCCACCCATAGAAGAGACCTTGTGATCTACTTTTGGAAAATCAGTCATTGAAAACATTATGGAGCACAGTTCTCTAGCACACATGCAGCCACTGTGGAATGAGGCAGCTGTGTTTTCTTTCCTTCTTTTAGTTTTTCTTTGACCTACAGATACTCATGTTGAAGTTTCATTTATCCCGACATAAACTTTTGTAGGCTTTTGGCATTGTGTTGAATACAAGGAGGGGAATAGTGTTACCAATCAAGACAGGGGTTTTTTTGGTTGTTTTTTTTTAAGATATATATATATATATATATATATATATATAAAATTAAATTTTATTGTTTAGTTACAAAGTTTGTATGCAGTGTTTCTCCACACAGGATCTTCTCCATTTCCTTTGCCCATCCCTTCCTCCACCCATCAGATTGTGTGACTGTATGATTAACCACCACCAACCCACCACCACCACCCCCACCCATCCTAACCCCTCTGCTCTCTCCCTCCTCCCCTTGGATCCTCATACTCATTCTACAGTAATGGTCTTATACAGTATTTAT